GGCGTGCGCGCACCACGCGCACCTCTAGTCTGCTCATGGGTGCGTGTGGTGGTTTGTGGAGGTGGGGATGTTGGTGGGGTTAAGGGGGGAGGTGGGGGGAAGTATGGGGGGAGGGTGAGAGGGCCGTACCGACCGCGAGAAAGAATACCTTCCGTAAGGTCCGAGTTGAGGTGGTTGTTTTAGGTAGTTGTAGTTGGAGATACATTTTTCTGAGCGAGAGAAATAGCGTCCCTGTAAGCTCGTAATATGATGTTGAGTTGTAAGTTGCATACGTCGTGTGGGATGATAGTTATAGTTGTAGTTGTTATTTAAACGTGGTTGAATAGTTTTTGTGTTGTTCTCTTGATGTCGTTTTAAAAAAAATCTAATTTGAATCCGATAAGTTGTTTATAAAAAATGGAACATTATCTTAGAACCCGACAAGACCGACCGGACCCAAAGCCATGAAGAACCCGACTGTGACCACATCGCTAGCTGAGTGATATCTCATACTAACTCCGTTATATTATTGTAGCTACCAACTTGTTAATACAAACCCCACCCCCATCCCCACCCCCCAAAAAAGAAGAAGAAACGACTCTATGTACGAGGCTGGTCAAAATGCTGGCAAGTCCACACCCCCTTCTCCTATCCAAAGTCTTCGTGAACACTTGTTAATCTTCTTAAACGCTCACATTGAAAAATTAAGGAAGCGGACTTCCGACCCTACCGGCCAGGGCCAACCCAGTCCCAAAGAGAGACAACATCCCAGCAGAAAGGCCGGCACCTCGATTAAACATTTTTTTTAAAACCCAAAAAACTCTTGCCTCATTCGAGAATCAAACTCGCGTTTGCTGTGTGCGACAGCAATGATGCACCTAACCGCTACACCACAGACACGGTATGGTTCAGGCAAGGTTCAATGTCATTTTGTACTAAGACCCGTTATCGCCACTGGAATATGGGTGCTTTCAAAATGAGTTACGCCAAAACAGATGGAAAAAAATATTTTAAAACATCGGAGTTAGTAGAAGACAGCACGAAGCTTGCCACATTATCGTGGAACTCCAAGCGCATGGCATCACGATTCATTATGGACGAGGCCAAAAG